CCACCATACAAAAGATGTTGCATGGCGAGAATTCTAATGTCAGATGTTCTTTCCCATGAAAAATCGAAGAAGATTTCCAAAACTATGGTTCACAACTACATCCGACCATCTGTTTGTGACTGTGCTACTGAACTAAACTAGATACCCAACTTATTTCATAGAGTTTTTCAAAAATAACTTAGAAACTTCTAATCATTGTTTGAATTGATGGCATGTTGAACTGCTTTTAGTAGGGACCGCCTCGTATATGTTATCAATTCCTCGAACTCCTCTCTTTCACGGACAAGCAATAAGAGACTTGCTGGTGTTTTTCTCAATGTCTGTGAAAAGATAGTTTGAGTCATCACATCCTCAAATACTTTTGACTCCTTCCCAGACAAGAGTACATCGTGCTTCCCATCTTTAGTGAAAGAATGTATTCTTGTAGTCATCATGATATGAACGATCGTACTGCTAAGGACGACCTAAGAGGATGTGACATGCATCCATATATATCATGTTACACCTCATTTGCTCGTATAACTTGTCTCCAATAGAAATATTCATGGGACTCCTGTAAACTGTGATTTTGTTCCCTTTTACTAGCTAGGACTTGAAATAAGATTGGATGCGCTTTTGCGTGGTTGGGTTTAATTTTTTTATCACCTGTGTAGATACATTGTTTTCACATTTGTCTTCATTTATAATGAGAATGTACATCTTTCCTTGCACCGTATGGGTATGGAAAAACATTATGGCGGAACCACTATTACTCTCTCGTTGGCTCATTCTAAAGCAGTATCCTTCTTTATGTCATCACCTTCTCCTGTATCTCGTGTCATTGTCCATATTTTTCACTGCTCTCTGCTCCGTAAATGAGATTATTTTCATGTTTGGGGAATCAGATGCAGCGTGCTCAAAATTGGTTGGGATGAATTTTGGAGTACTAGAGATCTTCACTTCTTTTTTCACTTGGAACTAGTTTTTTCTCGAGCCGAGTTGGTTTGTATGCTATGTTGGGTGTACTCATATTGGCTTATCCTTGAAAGTGTGCATTTTGCATTAAACTATAAAGGAGTTACAAAAAGGTGCAAAAGCATGCCCTCAAGCATGGTCAAAAGAGGCCTTGTGTCCCGGAGAATGGCAAAGTTCTGATGACTCAGGCACTGAAGTATAGGAAAAAAATATGAGAAAGAGCCAATTGGGCACTTAAATGGGTAGGTATATTAAGCTTTTGAGGAACAAAATGAAAAATAACTTGTTCAAAAGATATAAGAAAGGAAAAAAAGCACTGGAAAGTTCTAGGTTGGCCTTCCAACATTGCTGCTCCATCGCTCATCACATGTTGGTGATGATGTTGACATTGCCTCCTAGATAATAAGATCCTTGGCTTTGGTCATCCAAGGTCGGAACATGCACATGATGGCCAAAATGGCTTCAGGCTCAACTAGATCACAATCCTAATGTGTTGTCTATTGGCTCATAGCAAAAAAAGTTCACTGGTCTAGACCACCTTAGCAAGGCCTTGTCGTGTATCCAGCCTGGTCCAAGATCAATATTTTCTTGCGACCCACAACCTTCCAACGAACAATCATTTTGAGGCTTGTTCCACCATTTTAAGTGATCTACCAAGAAGTTGAGGTTCCTCTCCTAATGCAGCTAGCCCACGGGTTGTCACCATAAATGTTCGTGAGGTTTCTGTTGAGGAGGCTGTTTGGCTCAGTTCCACTGCTGAGCCGTATGGAATCAAGGCCACCCATAGTCATGGGCAGGTAGATTCGACCCCAGCTCACATAGTGCAGTGCTTTGCAAGGAGACGGTCCGTTCCGCAGAAAATTCCTGCATTTCGTCTCAATTTCATCCAGTACAACCATCAGAATTTCGGTATGCAACATGAAGTACAAGGACATATAGAGAGTAGGCAGAACTTAATAAGGTGTGGTGGTCGCCTGATGATGTTGCCGCTTCTCAACCTTCAAAACTAGAGCCTGATATCGTAGTTAACGCAAACCACAATAAGAAAAATAAATATTATTACTGAAAGCAAATAGATAGTTACAACCGACACACCTGAAAGAGAAAGAATAATGAAACGACAACCATAAATTTGAAGTATTAACAGACACGACACAAACACTCAAACTAGGGTGGGATCTTTGGTGGTGGTGTTGGTGATTAGCGAGAGTTTGGAAGGTGGCAGTAAGGTGGGAGCGCGGAGCAAGTGGTTGGATATGACAACAGAACAACATGTTCTTGCTGTTTTGGGCGACAACATGGTGGAATTCGGGTTCCTGGAGGCTGGAACAATGGATATGTGGTAGGGATGTGGTCGGGTATGGCTGCAACAACAGCTAGTGGAAAGGGATGGCTGAAACTGGGATGGCAGCAAGCATGAGCGCTAGAATTTTAGGGAATGGGGCTGGAATGCAGAAACTGTTGGAAGAACAATGTCAGAAGCATTTCTGAGCGGTTGTAGCAGGGAATGATGGTGAGGAGCTTTGTGTGTATGATACAGAAGGGGGATACGGAAGACAAACACCACTTGAAGACTAAAATACAATCGAAACACCATCTGAAATTGAGGTTACAACTATTGAAGGAAAGAAATGACGTCGGTAGCTATCTTGATAAAAAATTCATAAAAAAAACTAACTTTAAACTCTCACGAAAACAAATATATAATAAAATGGTAACTAGGACCGACCCAAGTTGATTGACCGACTCCTTGGAAGGAAAGAAACCTTGATCGATTCAGTTCAGGAAAACAGACGGATCAGCTGCTTCTGTGCGGGAAGACCCGAGTGTATGCCCATGGCATATATATCAAGTATGGACATGGACCGATACAATTGCAATTATATCACATTACTAATAGCTTGCTTCAGCGCTCCAAGATACCTTGCCACTATATGCTTCTCTAGTTCCACAAACACACATTTTAGCTTGAGTTGATAGAAGCAAAATGTGAACTTACCACAAAGGATTCTCTCTGGTGCAGGTTGTGGAGCCTAATGAATATGTCTTGTCCATAATGTGGGAGAAATATTTGTGCTTCATCTCCATTTTCAGCTTAGATCAAGTGGTAATTTACTTCTTTGTTTCTGTTATTGAATACGCGCCAGGTTCTTCTAACACAATGAGGTAGTTTTTCTTAATTTAATAAACTAGTTTGAACCTTCTGTCAAGTGGAACGTCCTTGTACTAAAGACTCGTTCTGCTATCTGAAGCCACTCAATGAACTCATCCAGATCCATGTGACAGTCAAAGTCTGTCAAGTCAATCTTCACTTCAGAATACTGACTGCTTTCCTAATATCTCATGCTAAATCATTAGGCTATTGGCTCTTAATCACAAGAAATTTCTTGATGGAAGGAATTTTGTTCCTCTCCTCAATTCGATTAGTCACCGTTATGACTTTGGGTGACCTTGCTTGGTTGTCTCTAATCAAATGCGACAAGTTTTTGTTGCTGTTGAAGGATTTTTCACTGCATATTCTCTATGGTGATCTATTGAACACCTCGTTGGGTTTATCCTAGGCAACATTTTGTCCATTTCTCTCGTTCAACATTTTGGCAGATGTAGGATGCAAATTAATGGTTGGATTGTACTTGCTTCTTCTTTCTAGCGCTTCCAAGACCCTCTTCTAACCCTCCCTTGCCCTCACAACCACCTCCAATTTGATTCTTACCTGCTGCTAGCCGCAACCACCACCTCTCATCCTCACTCTAGGGTGTCTTTTGCGTTTATTTGTCATTTATTTCTTGTTTTGATGAATTTTGTTGTTATCTTTGAAATTCAACAATAATATTTTCGTTTCTATTGTGGTTTGGTCTTCCTCCTCTGGTATCAAATTATATATATTTATACATGTAAAATTAATATTTTTATGTAAAGCCATCTTAAACATTGACAAAACCATCAGTCTATGCATGTTATGCTTCACGGAGAATCAGAGATGAGGGTTCATAATGAATGGTTATTTGAAAAATTTTAGGGCATGATTTAATTGGTGCATTAATTTATGAATGCTGTACACACACTCACATGGGCGTCTGAACCGCGCCTTGATTCGGGCGTGGAACATCACTGGAAAAGGGGGGTGCTTGAAATCGCGGGACCAAAGCCTTGCAAGTTCTCCCAATCCTGTGAAGACCCGAGAACCCGCGACAGGAAGAAGTCGTGAATTCTTGCGATCCAGTTGGGCTTCTTGAACCGAATCTTTTTTGGATAGAGTGTTCTGGATTTTTTTTGTTTATTTTACCCTTTTCCTCTTGTGTAGAAGTGGGAGGCTATATAGCTGTCCTTGAGTGTGTGGAGAGCAGCTCTATTAGTGTGGTTTACTAAATCTTTGGTGTGGAGTCTCTTCTCTCGCGTTAGGGTTGTCATCGACGACAGGTGGTGCTTCGGTTGTATCCTTTTCCGAGGTGGTACTATAAACTTTAAACTCCTTCGCTACTTATCATCAATCTCTTTTCCCTACCACTCCACTAACCACCTACCATCCCCACATTCCTCCACCACTCTATCTCTACCCCTACTTCTTCCCCAACCTTTCCATCCAATCCACCCACAACCAACCCCACAGAATTCCCTACCCACCCAACAACCGCTTACCCCACCGATACTGCTACCACCTTTGAGTCTATTTCAATAGCTTAGCTAGTGATGCATCTATTAATGTATATCCCTTTTGTTGAATCGAGTTCTACTGCTATTTTTATATTAATAGAAAGTTTACTTTATTTGTATTTCGCCACATTCCAACTAGTTTCGGTTTCTCTGTGTCACATGCACACAAAATTTTATGTAATTTCTTAATTTTTAAAGTTTTTGGATTAATATATATCACTAGATTTCCAATAGCATGTTTTCCTGTGTAACTCGATGTTTTTCTTTATAATTCAGATCATAATTTATCTTACCGGAGCACTTTTATATTTTTTTTGGGTCCAACAATGATTTATTTATCTTTTTTTTTTTTTTTTCTAACTTGCATTTTTTCCATGGTGCCCTAATTGAAGGCGTGAAGAATCACTGCCTATTTTCAAGAGGCGACTGCTAGGTGGTTTGTTAGATTTTGCTGTTAGGGAGCTTCAGGTTCAGGTAATTTCCCATCTTTGTGAAATGTATAAAGTTGCCATTGTCATTCATTTCGCAATTGTTTTGGTTGTTCTTTCAACATTTGCCCATTAACTAGTGAAAAAGCAAGCATATGTATGGCATCTGGTTTTCATGTAGTTTGAAGTATACCCGCTTTCTCAAGGATAATGAACTTTGGCGGTGATGCGGGAGCTTCCGGCACAAATATTTCCGCGGTATTGCAGCTGCCATAATACCGCGAGATTCACTATTACGCGAGACGGGTTGAAATAGTCACATTGTCTTTTCTCTTACTCTTTCTTTCCTATTATCCTTTATTCCTTTTTAGTCATTTCCTATATATGTGCTTTATTAGGCTTTGAATGGGTGTTTTTATTGTGTTTCTGTTCAGGACAGCCCTCGACGTCCATTTCCCCTTTCGAGGGCTGTATCTGAGGGTTCGATCGGTGCTCCTGCCATATCTCTTTCCCGAGGTGGTGATTATTTTCCCAATCCCCTTCCACATCCTCCCTATGTCGCTCCTGGTCACTCCGTCCCTGTTGTAACCGCCAAATACAACAGCTGTTGCTGTTTTTTTTCCCCCTACAGATTTCTCATTTTCAGCCATCTCCCTCTCTTCTCAGCTTCACAGCCATCCCACACAGCCTCTTTCACCCTTCTCCAATCTTCCCACATCACTCCCAATTGCTAAATCTCTCTGCCGTCATCCGGAAATCAGCAAATCTGTTGTTTTTCTGCTGTCCAACCATCATTCCGACTTGTTACTGCCTCGACTACTGGCGATCCTGCTGTCCCTACAGTTTCCACTTGCTGCCACCGCACCGAACCACACTTCTTTTTGTCCTGCGGTCCCAACCCTTCTCTTTTGGTACCCCTCGCTGTCCTAGCCTTTCACTTCTCTGCCAATGCAATTCCAACCATTCGTTTTGCTGTCTCAACCACCCACAAACTATTTCAGTCACCTACCTCCGCTCCCCGACCACCTAGCTGTCCTACCCCACCCATGGATCGAGCCCTAGTGTGATTTTGCGTTGTGTCAGTTGAATTTCCCTTTAATTGTATTTGATTGTAACTGCTTTTTACTTTCAGTAATAATATTTGTTTTTTTATTATGCTTTGGGTTAACACCGGTATCAGGCTAATAGAATTGTAAACATTTTTATTTACTATTTCATTTTATGAATTATTCATTGGACAGAAATGCTGTTCTTCATTCATTTTTCTTTCATAACAGACTCAAGTTATTGCAGCAGCAGCTGCTGGTGTTGCTGCAGAGGGATTGTCTCCAGAAAAGGCCAAAGAAGAAGCAGAAAAGGTTGCTCATCCTTCTGTTTTTTTGGCTGAGAATGCAATTGTGATTTTGATGATCGTGGAAGATCATTTACGTACACAAGCGCAGGATTTCTGTTCTTCAAAATTTGTTGCTCAGCGCTCAAGGTCTGCAGGAGCGACTTCTGGAGCATTTCTTGAAACTGCTGGATCCAGAATGTCAGTATCACGCAATAACAGTGCAGGGCTTTCCCTGGATGTATGCATGCAGATATCCCTCTTAATTTTATTGATGTTGGCCATTGGTCATTCCTTATTTCATTGCTTAAACTAGATGAAAATGAGCAAACTCTGAGATTTTATTTTGGTCATTAGGAGTCATTTGCAAAACTTCATCACAGTATGTTTATACCAAAATTGGTAAAATGATTTGAGAAATTTATCAACTTAGTTTTAAGTAATTGTGGTTTGACATGGTGCTGGTATGTTTTATTTATGCTGATTGTAGTTGCTTTTCATGGCAACTGTTTTCAATTTTCATTTTGTATTCTGTCAGCTTCTTGCTTCCATGGCTGATGAAAATGGGCAAATTTCTGCTTCTGTTATGGAGCGCCTCACTGCAGCGGCAGCAGCAGAGCCTTATGATTCTGTCCGCTGTGCTTTTGTATCGTATGGAAGTTGTTATTTGGATCTTGAAGAGGGTTGGAAATATAGGAGTAGACTGTGGTATGGTGTTGGCCTTCCCCCCAAAACAGCGACTTTTGGTGGTGGGGGAAGTGGCTGGTCGTCATGGAAATTTGCTTTTGAAATGGACTCGAATGGAAAATGGATTGATCTTCCCCTAGTTCAGAAATCGGTTGCCATGCTTCAGGCACTTTTACTAGATGAATCTGGGCTCGGTGGTTGTATTGGTATGGGCGGCGGATTAGGGATGGGAATGGGAGGAATGGCTATGCTTTACCAGTTGTTGGATAGCGATCAGCCGTTTCTTTGCATGTTGCGTATTGTCCTTGCTTCATTGAGAGAGAATGACTGCGGAAAAGATGACATAAATGTGGAGGAAATATGCCTGAAAGATGACTTACCTGGATTTACATATAGTGGAACCCATGGTGCAATGGAAAAGAGAAACAAGAATTATTTCTCCTCAAGGAATCCTTGCTCAACATTGCTATGGAGGTGACCATTTAATGTTATTTAATGTTTTTAACCTTTTTGAAATATTCATATAGTTAAATGTTTCGCTGGTGTGATCTTACTACTAATTTTTGATAGCAGTTGTTCAAATTCTTGTTCCCTTTTTTAATTTCTTTTTCCTGTTTTTAATTGATTTTTTGAGTGTTCTTGTTTATTACGTGTTGTCCTTCTTCACCTAGGAATTCTAGTACACCTGAAAATTTTTAGCTTCAGTATGTGGTAGCAATTTTGGTTAGGATTGATCATGAATCCCTCTCTATTTGATTTTTTATGTTTACTATCTTTTTTCTATACTTTTTGATTTGATAAATTTATGATTTGCATTGATAAGCTGAAATGTTTGGTAATTATACATCTTTTCGGATTTTTTTAGTGAAAGCTACCAATGAAGCATTGGGTGTAGATTTAACTTTCAATTTTCCTTCCTTTCTTGTGAATTTTGAAGAGAGGGAGGGAGGGAGGGAGAGAGAGAGAGAGAGTAGTCATCTTGATCTTCATCAGTAATCATCATATCACAAGGACTACAAAACCCTGTCTGTCATAAATATCAAAGGGGATATAGTTTCAAATATAACTATTACCTCAATAAATAATAAAATATTGCTAATGTCCCAATGATTACTTAGCCAAATAGAATAGATGAATGACACTACTGTGGGGTTGTTAGAAGGTGTGATAGAACACAAAAATGCTTTAGGAACGTTGTCGGATTGATACCAGGAGTGGAATGATGGACGACGGCTGATAATCGGCACGAACGGTGATATTTCGACCTTCCGGGAGTGGAGAAAAGGCTTACTCCTGATGTAAACAGTTGGTCGGGGGTGAAGTGTGGATGGGGAGGGGGATCTACCACCTGTTCCTCGACAAGCTACAGGCACACCACTTGTGAAAGGAAGAGACTACAATAGTCCAGAGAGCAGGAAATAAGAGAATAACTCTCAAAATACATAACCCAAGCTAAACAAAATCTAAACCCAAAGTACAGCATATATAAATGTCCTCTAAGAGAGAACAACCTTATTAGAAATTAGAAAAAAAGAAAATGATAAGGAAATGAGCAAAGGAAGAAAATTGTTGAAGATAAAGGAAATAAAATAAAATAACAAAAGTGCATCGATTCAGCTGTTTAGTCGGTTGAGAGGAGATGATACTACAGTATCGTGGGAAACCGCATCCCGTGTCACTCTTTCGGGTAGGTGGATCTTTGCCTACACCTCCCAAGGCATCCAGGCCCTCATAATACATTGATAAGTCAACAACATTACAAGTAGCCAAAATATTATAATCTCCCGGTAGATCAATCTTGTAGGCATTCTCATTAATCTTCTTAATTGTTCTGAATGAACCATCAACTCTAGGCTTGAGCTTTCTAAATGAACCTGTTTGAAATCTCTCCATCTTTCTAATTCATAACATGTCACCTTCATTGAAAACCATGACCATCCTAGGCTTGTTAGCCTATTTTGGTACTTGGTGTTATGCTAGACAATTTTCTTCTTGACCTGCTCGTGTAGAATCTTAATATTCTGGACTTGAGCCTCAGCATCAATGCTAAGCTCAGTAGCTAGTAATGGGACTATCTTCAGGGTGTAATAGGGTTCCACTCATACACAATCTCAAAGAGGCTTTGATCCGTGGATTGATTTGTAGAATAATTATAGACAAACCTCACATAAGGAAGAATACTGTTTGATGCTCTTTCTGATGAAACATCTAAGAATGTTTTCCAAACTACTATTGTCCTTATTGCCCTTCTATTTGGGTGCGAGCTGTTGAATTGAACTGAAGTTTGGTACCTAACTTATCCTTCATACTCCAAAAGTCGTTGAGAAATTTCATGTTCCTGTGTGACATAATACTCGGTGGAATATCATGAAGGTGAACTATCTCCTTGAAGTATAAATCGGCAATATGTGATGCATCCATCATTTTATTGCAATGAACAAAATGTGTCATCTTGGTAAACGATCTACCACAACCATAACAAAAACTTTACTTTGTTGTGTTCGAGGTAAGCCCAACATAAAGTCGATTCTTACATCCAACCAATTTGCCTCTGGGATGGGAAGAAAAATGTACAGACCTTTGCTATACGTCAATCTTGCTCAAGTGGCATGCCCTACACTGCTGACATGTCTCTCCACATCTCGTACAAGTCTGGATCAGTAAAAATTTTCTTTCACTAAGGAGAGTGTTTGTCTTTGCCAAAATGTCTCGCCATTCCCTCACTGTGACGCTCCTTTAAAATTTTCTCCTCGAGTGAACTCCGAATGCACATTCTATTCTGAAAGAATAAGTATCCATCAAATATGTGAAACGGTTTGATACCAGAGCTAACCTAAACTACAATGATGAAAAACAAATATTATTATTGAAAGCAAATATGTGACTACAATAAAAAAAACTCTTGAAAAGGAAAATATAATACAAAAGGAAAATATAACACACACGACACACAAACCCACCGTTAGGGCGGATCTCGAGTGATGACGGCGAGAGTTAGGGTGTTTGGAGAGGTGGTTGTAAGATAGAGAAGGGGTTTCCAAACTGTTGATGAGGGACAACCGTTGGAATAGCAGGGCGACGTGAGACAAAAACCCAAATTGTGGCAGTTTGCTGTTGGGGCGGCTGGACAACAGTAAAACATCAATGAGAAGGCGTTGCGACTACGATAGTGATAATGGAGGACTAGGACAGTGAGGGAAGTGAGGGCAGGAGCGGCGATGTAAGAGAGTATGTGGTGGATGGCTGTGAGCTGTCGAAAACAACAAGAGGGAGGGTTGTCGATTATTTAAGAAGGAGGACAACATGTATTGTGGAAGGCAGGGGGATTGAACAACGATGACAACTAGCAGGGGTGCTGGAATAGTAGAGAATTTGGGCTGAAATTCAGAAACTGTAGGAAGAACAACGTTGGCAGTTGTTCCAGGCGTCTATAGTAGGGAACAACGAATTAGAGCAGTGTGGGGAGAATAAATAATTAGAATGGGCAAGCTAAACACCACTGAAGAGAGAGATATAGCAGTAGCACCACCCAATTCCTTGCATACAACCCTCGAAGGAGAAAATGGATGCATGCGCTGCCCTGATAGGTATCTATGCCAAAAACTACTTATAAACACAAAAATAATATATTTGTCAACTTAGGATAAATAGGAGTAGCCCCTACTCCCATTAGTAAGGAAACCCGCTTGAAGGAATGGTTGACTAACCCTCATGGACCGATCTAAGCCACCCTTGCTCATGGGAAGTTCACGGTACTGTAATGGTACTTTAGCAATTATTACAATAAAAAGCCTCTTGGGTTGTTCCTGCGTCGATTTTCTGGGGTTGGGGTAGCTTCGAGCTCTTATGTTTAAGTTTTTGTCTTCTGAGGGTAGTCAATCGATCTTATTGAAGGTATTGAAAATGTCACAAGCTCCCAATAGGTCAATCATGTAGATGTTATCATTCTAAAGCACATCTTGATAGAATAAAAATCCATCCACTTTTAGTGCAACTTGAGCCGGAGCTGCATAACGACAGATTCTCACGCGCCATATCCCAAGCAAGTGGTCTATAATCTTCTTCTATCAATCTTCGTATTCGACTGGATGTATTTAATAAACAAGTATGTAAGGAGAAATCAACTCTGGGATGAACTTTGTGGCAGACTGAGCCACGGTCATTAGCAAACACTAAAGAGAAACTTCTTATTCTATGTTAGGAGCTGAATTCCACTGTAGGATTTTTTTTCCCACAAGGATCTTGAGGTGATCCCCAATACTGCGGTTTATTCACCTTGTTTGACACTGTTTTGTGGGGGTACACTGTTGAATTGATTTTAATACTTAAATGACTCCCTACTGTATTCCAAAAGTAACTCAAAATCTTTTCATTTCTGACAAGTTAGACCTCTCTCTATAGGGGCAACAAAGAATGTTGACTATATTTCTGAAAAGTCTAAAATCCTTTTATTTTAAGTTTTCTTGTATCTAGTATCGACTCCTCAAAGTCATGGCTCTTTCGGACTTTCAATGCTAATCCTACTAATGCTCCTCTAAATGTCGGCAAAAATGTAGTTCGAGGCACCATAACCTTATACCCTGTATGAATGCTCATTACTCGGTTTTACTACCTTCTAGAACAACAACTATCAACTCAACTAGAGTCTCTCCTAGGTTCAACTAGAATCACTAACATCTTTTTGTCGTAACTTGGAAGTTGAGAAGCCTCTCTGAAATCTTTATTTTCTCTTGGGTCACTTTTTATCCCTTCAACTGTTCCCTGATTCGTGAAAGAGATTATTCTTCTGGCCGTGCAATCTACTTCGGTACGCTCAAATCTATAACGCTTGAAACACTTTCTAGCTGGGATAGATTTGAGACTGCGTTATTGGTTCCACCTATTCTTCGCTCTGACCTAATCCTTCCTTAGGTGGTGTTTTCTTGGATGTTCCCGTGAGTGTATTATGGCTGTAAGATCCTGGGGTTGAGTCTTGTTTATAAGATGTGGGGGTCGCTCAGTGATGTGACATCACTTTTGTAGTTGGGTTTGAGCTTTCGGTATAGTGAGCTGGTAGGTATTGGCATTGTATCCTCCATTTAATCTTGGTCCATGGCATGATCTTATCTTTTCTTTCACGCTGGCGTATGTGCTGCAATTTCTTCCATCAAAATAACACACTCTTCTTTAACTTCCTGGCAACTTGTTTCTCCATTTCGTTGAGCGGGATGTCTTTACATTCAAAGACACGTTCCCAAGTCTAGAGACACTCAACGAACTCGTTCGAATCCTTTTGGCTGTCAAAATATAAAAAATCCATTTTTACTTCAAAAAACCATGGAATCGACTTGATGGAAGAGTTTCACTCCATCCCTTCGATCTTTCAAGTCATCGTTGTGGCTAAGGATGGCCAATCCGGACTGCCTCCTCTTGAAAGAGGTAAACCTCGGTTGTAGTTGATGGGTCTCCCACTGCATATCCTCCCTAGAAATCCC